GTCTCGTCTACGGAAAGTCGAATAGGAAAAGAGGAAGAAATAAGAGAGATGGAATCAAATCCGTAGATGAAAGACAAGGCGACCCATTTTTATAGGAGTAGAGAATTTGACCAAATTTGAGTCGGTAAACAAAGAGAAAGAGAACAGTCAAAAGCTATGAAATTGTAAAAAATGGTGGTTTTGATCAAACATGTGGCGGATTTTGCTGCCGCAATAACACTGGAAACTGCGACTTTTTTTTTTTTTGGTCACAAAACTGCGACTTTAATAATAAATATAAATATATAACTTGGTATAATAATGAAACGACGACGACGATTACTACTTGGAGAATAGTCAACATTTTCTAGAAATTACTTATTTGTTTTCTATTTAGTTACCTTAATTTGATTTTTCTCCCCCCCCCCCCCAAATTTTGGGACTTGGTTACCAAGTCGTGTTTTTTTGGCTAGCCATGAGGATTAGAGGTCTAGATGCGGTACGATTTTTCACCTTTGTTTGAAAGGTTTTATATATATTGGGCCTGGCTCAACAACTACTATTCATCCTCTATATATTACTTATGTGAAAAATTTTACCTGTCACTCGAAAAGAATTTTAAGAAACACCTAATAAAGACTATTAAAAAGTTTAATGACATATACCATTATGCAGTGTTCTAAAAAGCGTTCTAGGCGTTCGTCTAGGCGGCACTTAGGCGCTAGGCCCCTATAGACCGTGGCAATTACCGCTTTTGCCGCCTAAAATATTATGGTATTATTATAATAAAATACTATAATTTTTTTATATATAAATCATAAAATTTTATATATTTAGCTATTAAATGATGAATATAAATACAATATAAATTTTATTAGTTATAAATTATGTTTTTTATATATTTTATTATATATATCTAATATATTATGTATTTTTGTAAAACGCTTAAACCGCCTATTAAATCGACTAGGCTCCGATTAGGCGTTCTAGGCACTAGGCATTGGGTCACCGCTCGCTTAGCGCCTAGCGCTTTCTTGAACATTGCCATTATGTGAATAACTAGAAACTTAATTATATCTTAATCCAATTACCCACTAAATTTATATTTTTTTATATATAATACATAATCATCAAACCAATATGAAAGTAACAAATCTATGTGGTAATTAATATAGAAGATTTTATTTAAAATTTTCTCTATATATTAATATGAGAGTTTTAAGAGACATATCAATTAAATTAACCAATTAAAATATTTCAGTTAAGTCTATATGTCATGTTGAAAATTTCTACATATTTACATTAATTTTTTAACATGAACTCACAAATACATGTGTTATT